TCATCCCCGCTGCTGCTGCTGCTGCTGCTGTTGCTGCTGTTGCTGCTGTTGCTGCTGCTGTAGAGATGTTGTGTTTTGTTTATTTGTTGCATTTGTTTTGTCTTATCGAGAATTTTCTGCACATTAGGAAATATAAAATGCTTAAAAAAAGCATAATGAAATTGCAGGCTTTTGGTGCTGTTAAAAAACACAAAAACTCGTCTACACGCGGGGGCCCCATGGGGCCCCTTCCCCCTCTCAGGTGTACATACACCCCGCTGTGCAGCAGCTGCCTCTCTAGCAAATATATTAAACAAGAAGTGCGCATGCAACTCCGGCGGGTACAGCACAAACTCTTCTGGTGACCGGGGGGCCCCTTCTCCACCCTCAAGCCCCACATCTCTACCCTCCCATGCGTTTATATCATCAAATAAAGGCAAACATGCACTGGGGGGCCCCCCAAGGGCCCCCAGGGCCCCCGGGGCCCCCAGGGCCCCCGGAGTTTCCATGCCTCGGGGGCCCCCTGGGCCCCCTAAACCCAACTCAAACCGCTTCTTACGCAGAAACTCCTCGCTGCGTTTGGGGCCCCACAGTGCATGCGGGTGCGGCAGCTGCAAAATACACTCAAAACCAGCTCGGCTACGTAGCACATCGCAGGGTAACGGGGGCCCCTCAGGGGGCCCCCCCCCAGACCGGGGCCTTTCAGACGGGGGCCCCTCAGCAGGGGCCCCCTCCGAGGGGGGCCCCTCAGCAGGGGCCCCTCTGGGGTGAGAGCTATCGGAATGCCGCTCCTCCGCTAGAGGGGCCTGAGGCGGCAGCTCCCCTTCTCTTGTGGGGGCCCCTACCTTTCCCGTCGGCAGCAGCTGTTGGTGGGGCCCCCGTGCTGCGCCTGCAGGCGTTGCAGCATCTGTTGCTTCTGCGTTGCATGCAGTGACGGCCCCCCCGCTGCTTCGCTGCAGCGACAAAGGGGTTCTGCTTGGANTGCTTCTGCGTTGCATGCAGTGACGGCCCCCCCGCTGCTTCGCTGCAGCGACAAAGGGGTTCTGCTTGGATTGGGGGCCCCCTCAAGGGCTGGAGGAAGCTGGGGGGCCCCCAGGGCCCCCAAGGAAGCTGCTGTGGGGGCCTCGCAGCACTCCACTGCATTCATACAGAAAGCGTTAATATGCATGAGCCGCAAGGCGGTGCCCCGGGTCTCCCAAGATAAGCTGCTGGAGAGAAGAATAGATTTGTGCTCTGCAGCAAACAAAATAAAAATTAAATTAAATTTATAATATAAATTAAATTAAATTAATAATAATATAAAATAAAATACAATGGGATACAATAAAAGTTAAAAAAAAAAAGAATTTCAGCGCGGGAAACTCTTTATTTAATCTGTCGCAGCTGCAGATACACCGCAAGAAAAAGAAGAAAAGAAGAAAGAAAGCAACAAATCCCCGGTGAGTTTCTGTGGCTGTTCAGGTGTACATACAGCTCACCTATAGGCAGCAACTCCTTAACCCTCGCTACAGCCCGCAGCATCGACGGCTCCTGCAGCAGCAGAGCTGCATCCTCAATAGCAAGGAGTTTACAGTTATACAGTGCGTGGGGTGTATCTGCATCTGGTGTATATCCAGGCATCCTCAGGCCTTTATGTTTCGATGCAAGCAGAAAAGAAACAAACTCCTCTGCTTTCCCAGGTGTACACACAACTACATGTGGCCGTGCATGCAACAAAGCCCCAAACTGCCTCCAGGGGGCCCCCAAACCCCCACACTCCCCGGGGCCCCTCCCCACCAACACCCCCACACGCAGCCCGCTGTACCGACCCAACGCCTGCAGCAGCCGCCGCGTCTGCATCGCCATATCTCGCGTTGGTGTTATGAACAGGGCACGTATACACCCGAACGAGGCCCCTTGGGGGCCCCCAGGGGCCCCATCGGGGGCCCCCTGTGACTCCAGGGGGCCCCCCAAAGAGGTGAAGGGGCCCCCTGCGTCTTGAGCCAGGTGACAAACTACAGAAAGAGCTGCAGCAACAGATTTACCTGAGCCTGCAGGCCCAGCTAGCAGCACATCTGTCTGCGGCTGCAGCAGCAGGGGGAGTGCAAGCTGCTGCAGCGGCAGCAGATGAGTAATCTTTGCTGCTCTTGAGAGACCCAGGAGGATTTCGCGGGGTATGCCGGCTGTACATACACCCGAAGCGGGTGCAGCAACAACAGGAGAAACCGCTGCTGCTGCTGCTGCTGCTGCTGNGGCAACGCCTTAAGGAGAATTTCTCTGTATGAGCCCCCCCATACACGTTGCTTGGGGATCGGGAGGCCCCTGCAGGTTGCCTGCAGCAGTGGCATCCATGGCTCATGGGGGCCCCCCTTGCGCAGCAGCTGCTCCAGAGGGTGCACGCTGCAGGGGGGCCCCCATGTCTGCAGCTCCTGGAAATCTGTGCGTTGAGTGGGAGCCGCTGTTGGTGCTGTAGCTGCTGCAGTTGCTGCTGCCGCTGGCAGCAACGGTTCTTCTGCTGCAACTGTTGGCTTAGAGGGATGTTGGTGAGATGATTGGGAAGAAAAAAAACGAGAAAACAGCGGCACGGAGCGCCAGGAGAAGCATATGATTCCTGATGAAGAACAACTGAGAGATGAGAACGGCTGCTGTGTACCCCACCGCCGGGTCAGTGCCGTGTGTATGTACAGCTGCATGAGGGATTCGTTCTCAAGAAGTGAAGTCTTGAGATAGTTTCATTCATAAAAACAGAAGAATACAAACTCAGAGAAGGAAAGAAGGAAAGCAGAAAGCCCGGGTGAAACGCACGCTGAAACGCAACGAAACCGATCCATCGCGGTGTATTGACAGCTTGCAAGCAGGTACTTCAGATATGGAAGAAAACAAAAACGTCATAAATATATTCTTCTCTACATATTGCAGTAACTCGAAATGCAGCAAACCCTGAAAACAAACCCCGGCTTTGTATCTATTGTTTCTGTATGGTGTTGGCTTCTACGCAACATCAATCAATGATAATTCTAAAAAATATAATGCGAAATAAATTATATTTGGTGATGTATTTCCACAAAGTCGATACAATCAATACTTGTATGCTCGACTGGGGGCCCCCGGGGGCCCCCAGCCCTCGGGGGCCCTAGACCGAGCTGCGTGTATTGAACCAATCGATTTTCACTAGGAGTTTTACATTAAAAATAAAATTAAATTTCCTTTAAAATATATATTAAATAAATTTGTATTTATTATCTATTTCAGGCTGTATTCAAAGGGGAATGAAACTCGATTTAGTCTGCATTCAACAAGAAATACATGCGTGTTCAGGTTGTATTCATGTATACTTGCACTTCTTCTCAACTACAAACTAAATAGGCTTGTAAACCCTTTTAAATGCAGACTAAATAACCCTGTATTCCCCTTTAAATATAAATTAAATAGGTTTGTATATCCTTTAAAATATAGAATATATAGACTTGTATTTCTATTCAACTATGGAAACAAGTCCCGCGCTCGCACGAAAGCAGTTGATTGCGTTTAGGATGATAGTTCTCCGCAGAAGCAGCTTCTGCCCCCCCTCAGATCCCAAGCGCCTTGAAGGGGGCGGTCCAAGGGCTAGGGGCTGGTGCCAGGAGGACGTGTGCAGTGTAAGCGTGCTCTGTAAGAAGTTGATGCAAGTATTTCAACTCGCATGCAGACTGCCTCTCGAGGTACTAGTTTAGGCGTTCATCCACTGACCATAAGTATAGAAAAGGGGGAGCAGCTTTCTGCTTGCATGCAGGATTGCTATTGCAACACTAGGTAGCGCAAGGTGCGCTGGAGCCCGTGATTCGCCTCCTCGCCGCAGCAGCCTGAAGACCAAGGGCCTTTGGGTGCAGGATGTCTGGGAACACAAGCGTAAGCCAGCTGTGGATCTTTCCATTGGTGAGAAAGCAGCCATCAGCTGGGGGTCTCGCTATATTCTACGAACCAGTGTATCTGCATTCCATGTGTTGGAGCGTTTCTTTACAGCGAAACTAATTCGTGCAGAATGCCTCCGCTTTTGATGAGACCGTCCAGCTAGGATTGGAGTGCTTACGCAGTGCACTACATCCGCCTTCGAAATGCTCTCAAAATGTTCTAGAAACTTCCTTTATAAGAAGCGAAAGCACGAGAATTGTGGCTGTATCTGAAGTATGGAAATTTTCGTGTGTGCGCCGCGATATCTGTTCGTTCCTAAATCTGAACGGGAACAAGATATAGCTGAACTACGGGCACTTAAGCAAGAAGAATATTTGGTGCAATATATTGGGAGGTACCGCTCCTTTGTGAACAGAAACTCAACGGAGAAGATGGATACCTCGAGGATGCCACGGAAATACCCCTGAGGGATTGCTTCCCATAGATGGTCCGCAGGAATATACTCAGGTTGTCTTTATCCTGGCCAATTAGCATCATAATAACATTGTAACATCTGCGTGCGCCTAGGATATCAATCAGTTGCTCCTTCTTGCACTGGGCATGTTGACGTTTTGTAGAAAGAGTCCGAGGAAACTTGAGCGACTCCCTAACGCGTCTTGGATTAACTTATCACCGACGTGGGGATTTCAGCGTACAGTTGATGTCGGTTTTCTAAGAACGCGGAGCAAAAAAACCCACCTAACGCATGGAATGGCGAAGTTTATCTTCAGCTCGCCCTCCTGCCCTCTACGGGAAACTCCCAAATACTTTACAACCAACTAAAGATTGAAATTAGCTGCCGAACTTCGTCTGTTTTTGCCGTGCTTCCCTGGGCTTTCCCCATACATTCCTGAGCAATTGCAAGCTGTGTATGGACGTGAACACCTGTACACAGGTAGAAGGGAACATCTCTGCTTTATAAGCCCAGTCCGCACAAGAGATGAACGTCATTCCAACATCTGACCCCTATTAAATTCACCACGAGATTCATAGGCATATATCCACTTAGGAATCGAAGACACATGGATTGTTTTCATTGTAAATGCATGTTCCGCTAGATGCTATGCAGCTACCATGCTCAGCTCAGCGCGACGAGGCGCTCAGACGTTGGCTGCCACCCCGCCGGCAGGGTGGCAGCCAACGTCGAGAGGAGAAACTGGCTAAGCCCTAAACGTCTGACAAAGATGTGGGGGAGAATGCGTATATATGCTTAATATGAGGTTGGGATTCCTTGCCAGTATCTGACATGATGGGCCTTCCTGTGTAAGCAAGTGTAACTAGGGCCCACACAGGAGCGTCGTGAGCTGCGGCAAAGTCACAACTCTGAACATAATAGTTCCACCCAAAGCAGCTCAGACCCCCGCCGAGTATCCGCCCATCCTCGGCACAGATTCCCAGCCCGTGGATGGTGGGGAGAGCAGGCGGCCTATCACGAGGTGCAGCACGCCGGGTTGCAACCCTGCTGCGAGGCAACCCTACATGGAAGCATAACCAAGACCCCCCTCCTCCCGCTACCTACAATTGTTAAACACTCACATGGCCTTCAACAGGCAGACTAAAAAACCCGATATACGAACTCCACGCTGAGTGAGAACACACGTATCAATTTCAAACTGTGAAGAGCCTGCTGAGGCCGTGCTGCATCCCTCCTCTTCTGCTAGCCTTGTTCAGACGGCGCACCAGCATCGATGCTCTTATTTAGCCTATATTTTGCCACAGTTGAAGCGAATATACAAATAGAGGTCATTTGTGTTTCTCTTTGCAGCACGTTTCAAACACCAACCCGTGCGAACGAAAATCCACCGCGGCAACACTGTGTGGCAGTCACGCTCTATAGACAGTTCAACAGACGGAAGCGAACAAGAATATGTTTATGATGAAGCGAAACATCGATTAGAATTATTTAGTTCATCTGAAAGGGTATACACTGAGCTATACGTCGGCTGACGAGAGCTTCCATGGGTGGTGGTCCAGAGCAGTCGGTGTGCCACACACTGACACGTCTCGTGGCAGACAGGAGGACGGAAGGAAGGCACTGGCCGCTGTTGTTGAATCTACAAGTGAACAACTGGTTTCCACTTACGATTCTTCTTCTTTATCACTTTGTTTTTATGCACTTGGCGAAGAATCGCTCAATCTGGCTTCAGAATCCCACCCAGCAGCACACAGTTCAAGGGAGTGGTGAACCTGCATGCCTCGCTCGGTTCCTCTGCTTCCATCAGCAGGAACCCTTCTTCTGCACAGTACCTTTTCTGGCTCCAAATAAGTAAGCTAACAAAACGCATACGAAGGAATTGTTTGAGAAACGTCTTCTACATCCTAAAACGCAGCTCATTGCAGGAGTCTAAGCTGCGCTTCTACCAACGCACACCTGTTTTGGGGGGGTGCTGGATTCCCCATTTCTGCTTCTCTGTGCATAGTGCTTTGTGTTCTGTTCCGCTTTTTCAGGATGGGAATGACGCGGCTTGTTTCTTTTTTGTTTACCTTTGTGGTGTTTTCCGTTCCTGGTTCTGTATTTGGGGCCTCTCCAGCCCATCCTGACAATGAACATCACTCTCTGGGTACCGCCATCGACGTCATATTTTCACGGATTCTTGAGGATGCAAAGCACGACTTGAGCCGCAGCAATGTGCTGCAGAGCTGCGGCAAACCGGGGGCCCAGCCAGACGGACAGAAAGGGGTCCAGTGCCGCCGCGTGTTGAAGGGTGAGCCTGATGCGGCTCATGAGTTGCTGCCGTTCCTCCTCAGGGACGAAGAGGCGATGAAGCTATGGAGAGATCACTTCAAGCGCCACGTTAACGACCTCGTTAGGGAGGCAGCCGAATACAGCGGTGCAGACACCCCTCTCCACGGCCCCGTTTTGAGAACGCTGGCAGAGAGAGAGTTCTGGGGCAGCCGCCCGGCCGTTAGCAACGGGGCCCTGCAGCATTTGCGGCTGAAGATGCAGCGCCTGAAGCTTGCAGCTGCCGAGAAGGGGAACGACCCCGAGCTGGAAGTGAGCTGGGAGGCAGAAGTGTCGCCGCGGTTCAAATACCACAGCATAAAGGACGCGAAAAAACAGATGGGGACGTATCTGAGTTGGTACGAAGATCCAGATAAGCCAAGTGTACCTATGGGTGAGCCTCTACCAGTGAAGAAGTTTGAACTGCAAGCAGATGCTCAAGAAGACGATACGACAGACTTCGACGCACGAGAGGCATTCCCTGATTGCAAAGACGTCATAGGACATGTACGAGACCAGGGAGATTGCGGGTCGTGCTGGGCATTCGCTAGCACGGAAGCTCTTAACGATAGATTCTGCATCAAGACAGGCGGGAAGCACATGGAGATACTGTCGCCACAGCACACCACATCATGCTGCGATCTGCTACACTGCTTATCTTTCGGCTGCAGTGGGGGCCAGCCGCGCATGGCTTGGCGGTGGTTTGCAAACGACGGGGTTGTGACGGGGGGTGATTATGATGAACTTCACAAGGGGAAGAGCTGCTGGCCGTACGAAGTACCTTTCTGTCAGCACCACTCCAACGGGCCTTACCCGCAGTGCGAGGGACCCCTCCCCAAGGCCCCTAAGTGCAGAAAAGATTGCGAGGAGGCGGAATACAGCACGAAGGTGCATCCATTCAAGGAGGATCTTCACTTTGCTTCCAGTTCATACAGTGTAGAGGGACGGGATCAGATCAAGAAAGAAATCAAGGAGAATGGAACGCTTACAGGAGCCTTCTTAGTCTTCGAAGACTTCCTCATGTACAAAAAGGGAGTGTATCACCACGTCACAGGCTCCCCCATGGGCGGCCACGCAATCAAGGTGATTGGCTATGGCAATGAAAACGGCAGAGACTACTGGCTAGCCGTCAACAGCTGGAACGAATACTGGGGAGATAAGGGCACCTTCAAAATACAGATGGGAGAGGCCGGAATAGATAAAGAATTCTGCGGTGGAGAGCCAAAAGTACCGGCAAACCTCAGTACATTTTTGCAGCAATCCGCACATGATTTGTAAGCCCTAGCAAATATAAAAAGTCCGAAACTCCAGGGACTGAGAAGTAACAGTTTCGTGGAGCTTCACGAGACCGCTTCGTTCCGCTTGTCGCGTCGAGAATTGCAAGAAAGGAGGGCAAGACGCATCCAGTGTGATCAGCTGTGGTGTACATAACAGACGGTGTATGCACAGATATGTGGTTTCAGATTGATGAACCTCACAGTGTTTGTTAACGATTTTGTGTACAGAAATTCAGGTGCTGAAGTATACGTGATACGTAGAGGTCGGTTGGCAATGGCGGCCTCCGGTGGGGATAGCACTATTATAATATTCAGAGGTGGGGATGGCACTTTTATATTCAGAACAGACGGAAGGTATGTGACGTCTGCCACGCTGCAACCGCCCCAAGCTTCGGGTTATAGCCCGTTCAGTAGGGTCGTTGCGAAGGGCCCTTTGATACAGTTGACATATATACCTCTTTTCCATTTGTCGCCACGAACTAATTCGTATTCGACAGAATTGCATTATCTGCCACGGCAGCGAATGTAGGACGTAGATAACCATACCCACGGATCCTGATGAGTTACAATGAGAGCATATCACCAGCACCAGCAACAGGAGCTCCTGCCGTTGCTTTTGAGCAACTGCTGCCTTTATTTGAAGTCTTAGCCCTACACGCGAAGGATATAGGGTTGCAACGCAAACTGTACACTTTGACCGCGCATAGAACGAACGAAAAGGAACTACAGCGCAGCTCAAACGACATTTCGGAACCACTTCCTTCAGGTTATGGCCGAACTGCAAGAGAAAACTAGCCTCACCATTGCAGCAGGTAATAAATGCAAACGACGACACCTGCTGGGAGTCTCTGTATTGCAGTGTAGACAGAGCGTAAAACTATACAGAAACTCCACCATATAGGTGAAGCATAATTACGTTGGCGGGGGCTATAAGCACTCGCGAATCGAGCACGGTACTACAAAATACAGAGCACAACAACGTCGTGGAATACAGCCACTATGATTCAGTGGACTGCACTCGACAGTACTGTTTCTACACCAGTGCACTACAGGCACGGTACAGCATATTAAACTATGCAACAATACAATACTTACTAAATATATAATACGCAACCAAAGCAGCACAAGCCACTGCGGCTGCAGCAACTACATACACTATAGAACTCCATAAGAGTAGCAGTACGCGCTGGAATGCGCTATCTTCCATGTGGCCTGCAGCTTTGCGCTGACAGTTCAGAAGAGTCCTTTCGGTTTTAAGGAAAATCGCAAAGGGGTGCAATTGCTGCAGAGGTTGGCATGTGGATATTCGATGAGCTTACTGGTAGAGCTCAAGAAATGCGCGAGAGAAAGCAAAAGTCCGTTCTCTATGAGCCCTCCCTCTCAAGTAAAAGCACTGCACTGCACTGCACTGCATTCTAGTGGACAACGACCTAGTTTCAAAGGGTTGTCTCATAAATAAGGACAGTCCCACGGTATGAAAATATATAGTTATATATTTACGGTATAAATATTTAATATATATATTCATGTATATATTTATATATACACGCATAATGCGTGATTAGAACGAGCTAATCCTGAAGGAGTGGTGCAGAGCTTGTGGATTCTGAAGAGGAGCCTTTTACTTTGCCTTCGCGAACGGTCTTCTTGGCGAGAATCCATCTACAGGGCAACACGCAACAGAAACAGCAATACACCAATCACTATAATCACTATTTTTATTGCATTTAGTTTGACCTTTGCACGTCGTATACACAACTGTACTGAACAGAAGAGCGGCTTAATATAAATGGCCTATGCCTGTTGTTCGTGAGTACTGTCTGAGATCGCTTCATTCGGTTGTTTATTTTGCTGCACATTTCCAATTCGTTCTACGGTTGGCTTTGCCTTTTATCTAACTGTCGGTACTACGGTTGGGGATGGGGTTTAGTGTTAAGGGTTTAGGTTTGACCATTGACTCGAGTGCTGTGCTGCCTGAGTGCTGTGCTGCCATTTAGTTTATCTGAAGCTTCTACTGGGACTTTGTTCTGCTATGCATGCAGCTCTGCTATAGGGTTCAACTTAGTGTTTGTTGCAGGGCATTGCGGGGGGGGGGGGAAGNGGGGGGGGGGGGGAAGGGGAGGTTCTTACTCTGCAGGAATCGCCACTACCCACTGCAGACCCCAGGCTACGAGGAACAGTAAGACGAGGACCCCGAAAGACAAGCTGCCAGCAATCCAAAGACAAGCGCCTTTGTAAAGACAAGCTCCCTGAAAAAAAGCATACTCATGCAGAATGAAGCCCCCATACACAGCTAACCACACCCCCGCACGCCCTCGCCTACACCCACCCACGCCCACACCCACAGTCAAGCACGCCCATATACATATATACTCGCCCACACCCACATCCAAGCACGTGCATACACATAGATAGATACAAATCCCCACCCAGCCACCCATGCCCACCCTCATATCCACACCAACAAACACGGCACTCAAAATGTTTTCCCAGCTGTTCAACTTGACCGTAAACAGCTGATTCTGTTACTGTTACTGTTACTCATGAACTGGTTCTTGTACGCAAACTGCTCCTGCCGCTTATCTTACCGCGAAGACGCAAGAGCACTCCTCCTCATGTTCCTGGGAAGTCTGCAGAAAGGAAATGTGCACAACATACATACAACTGAAGTGTGTCCTGCATAATTCAACCTTTACTGAAACCCCTCTGAAACTCGCAAGTTGGTCAGGCGCTTACCTGCAAGGCAGAGAAGGGGTTTGCCTCTGGTGGTGGTGCAGACTGAGGATTTTGTTGTGGGTTTTCGTTCTGAGAGACGGCGGTTTGCTGAGCTAGCGAACTATCCAATGAAGTAGAAGACTGCGTATTGCTGCCACTTCCATTGTTCAGGTGTAAGCGGGCAATCAGAGGATCGGTGCCGGGGGGCGGAAACGGTTCGCTGGCGCCATTTATAAGAATATCTGCGGTTGCTTTGGCCTGGTGGGACAAGCCTGCGGTCATGACAAACAAGCTGCACATAAATAAATGAGCATTAGTGCATAAACAACAGAAAGGAATATGCACCCATTTATAAGCAATATTCATCCACTATATCTGTGACCCCATGTCTCGAACCCGGAACATCCCACACATTTATCTCAACGTTATCGTTTGCTAGGCAGGTAAGATATCTCGCCCAATCAGTTGAGGTTTAATGGGTCATTTTGATGTTGTGGCTGACCATAAGCGTGTCTGGAGAGGAGAAAGATGAAGCAAAATACGCAAACGCGCAGTGATGCAACCATCGTGCCGACGGTCTAGATAATGCAGGCAGCCGCGCAAGTGGTTGCGAGGTGCTCAAGATCATTGAGTGGTTTCTATGAGTATAGAAACTCCTTCTTTGAAGGCATCTCTAGCAAAGTGAATCCATGGAGCCTCTGATTGTGTGAACCGGTCCAGTGCTTGTAACCGCGGCAGACAAAAGAGCAGGAAGAAACCGTCGAAGCCGTATACCTGGAGAAGGTTGGGAAGAAGGTTGGGAGTCTAAAACAATGGGTATAATCAAGTAAGGAAGATATGATGTTCAACAAACAAAGGGAAGATGGCCAATACGGAAACTGCATGTGGGCGGACAGGCAGTCAATCGATGGTGGCTGCCTCAGGGGAAGCACGCGCTTCGCATCACAACTTCGACGTGAAAAGAACCCTGAGATGATAATTTCTTTAATATAAAGGGGAGAATAAAGGGTATTTACTATTATATTTTTTGGAAGCAGTAACAGGCATTGAGCATTCGATCCAACGATTTTCGGGGCCACTGCAGCCGGTCAACTGTGCTGTACGAGGGTCCACGAGGACGAAAAAGGAACAATTTTGTTGATTTTCAATCGAAAGAACATAATTTGACTCATAGTGCGTACAAGAGTTGGATACAGTACCTCAACGGGTCTTGAAAATTGTTTATTTCACCGACTACACCTCTTCACCGTACAAAGGAAGAACGCAACCAAGCACACAACAACACATTAAATGCATATCGCCTATTCCTCATAGTTCATACCTCATGTGAGACTGTCTTTATTTTCGCAAGCCATGTGATCGTCACATGGTTGCCTTTTCCCGTCAACCCCGGCATTGCGCAGGACAGTGCCAGAAGGACCAGCGGTAACTTTCTTGTTTACTACGAGGAGGGGGATTTACCACTTGGGGCATCATCCCCCGTTCATATCTCGGTTTCGCTCATTCAGGGGCACTGCCTCAGACTCGCTCTATAAGGTGTTCTGAGCACAACCAGTTCCACGCGATTGCAGGCGTCCTGCAACAGGGGGGGAGTGCTGTGATGGTGCAGGAACGGTGGGGGGATATTTAAGCTTTAGTACAGAAACGTGTGCTTGGCAAGCAAATGGAGGGACCAGACGCACTACCAGAGACGCATGAAGCTGCTAATGCTCCAACCAAAGGGCCGGGTGAAGATGAACGGGACACAACGACGCTGACAGCTGAACTAACAGCACTAGTATGGAGTCAAAGACACTGCCTTATATTTATTGCTTTGTGTATACAACACATATTATAAATGTAGAGCATGTATATTATGTAAACAGCATATATGTATATGTATATTGTGTATATATAATACCTAATATATATACTATATGCATAGGTTCAACGCCGAAACGCTCGTCTACTGGTTGGCAGCAACTACTTGGGTGTCGCACTTTATTAACTGCGAGAGATCAACGTAACACCCAAAGGCCTTTTCTTTGAAAAGGCATCGTATGCATTTGTTTATTTTGGGGTAGAGCTCATATGCTACGTATTTTGCGTATCTGGGAGGTCACCACAATAGTTCACTGCAGTGGTCATTGCAGCAGGTAGACGAACAGTTATGGAATACAGAACAGAACTGGGCACACGATTGGAGGAGCATACTAAAGCTGCTTTTGCAGATGCTAGCGTTAGCTGATCTCGCTTTTTGTATCCTGACTGCTATACTGCAACTCAACGGATTCTGCACTAATTATGCCGCATTTCTCTGGTAGATACTCATTCGTTGACTTCAGCTTGTACTAACTGTGCTGGTTTCTCTTTGTCACTGACATTCTTTAGCCTGTGTTGAGTGTGTTCATAGAGCTGTGTTTGTTGTTGCGGCCCAGGCCTCTCTCCATGCCAGTAATGCGGCGGCGCTGTGTGCAGAGGCGGACAGGAAGTTAGAACTCCTACTGTAAGTTGAGACAACAAATGCTTTCTGTTTCGCTTTCGCGAACAAAGGGTACGGGCACTTCGCACTGCCATTACTTAGGTGTTCTCGTAACTAATTGTATACATTCAATACAGTACATATATACTATCTATGTATATGTGTGCGATGCATATATGTATAGAACCGTTTGCATCAGAATAGTTTATATATGCGGATATATGCGTGTATGCGAGCATCGCTTCGTTCCACCATTTCCATAAGGTCGCTAAAAAAAGCATTCACAGAAATGTTAGGAGTGCGACATGCGTGGGGCCGGTAGAACTCGTACAATATTGCTGCTATTGGTGTGCAGGAAGGAGTGCACACAGCTTGATTTGGAGTGTGAGAAGATACTTGAGCAAGCCCAGGAACAGGAAAAGCCTCCGGAAGAACCCCCTCAGCAACAGCAGGAGGTTCAGGAGCAGGCGCCGAAGCAAGCAACTGCGAACAACAGTAGTAACGGCAAAGGATCTGAGCCAGCTCCTTTCGTCCCCAAATTGACGCGTGTTACCCCAAAGCCGGCGAGGTTTTTGCCAAAGAGGAAATAGTGTCATTTGTCAGAATGCGTACCTTTAACACAAGCTCCCGTCGACTAATTGACGCAGTGGTTACCCCGTCTATAAGGCAGCTCAGCTTCACATGCGTGTCCAACATTCAATTCCGTGCCCACACATGAATGAAGCAGGCTACCTCTGCAGCTTCACACTACAGTTGGGTTCCTAAGCCAGGGTAAAGCATTTCTGCCGCGCCCGACGGGAACGGCTTTAACAACCTTAGCTGAAAACACAATTTGCACAGTCCCTCCGCAACGTTTCCAATGCGGAATTCACTCGGGTCGCTGTGACCCAGCCCACAGCCTGCCCTTCCATTCATGTCTAGGGGGGCAGAAGCGACAAACCGCTAGGTTCTGCTTGTCGCAGGGAATATAGTATAGCTCCCGCTTTTGAAGTATTCGCGGGAAGAAGAATAGACTTTTTATTGTAAAAGAACCGTCGCGTGCCTTCCAACGACGCTGCGGAGTTCTGTTTCAGTAGTTGCGACAGTAATTCCTCACCAACAAATCAGAGAGAGGAACAATAAGCTTATCATCCCAAAACAACCGCTGCGTCCCTTGCTCCAACAAAAGGCACACTTACACAATGCCAACAGGCTTCAGTGATTGCGACAGTAATTCCTCAACAAAGGTTCAGAGAGAGGAACAAAAAACAGTCTCATCCTTATCGTTGGCAGCTCCAGAAGTGTAATCGTTCGATAGATTGGTGTAAGGTGAAATGGGTCTAGCTGAACGCAGACGGGTGCTCTGCAGTCACCTTCGTATGCACCACGCCTGCATGGCTCTCAGCAGTTGTTTTAACGTGACTTAGACACTGAACAGTGCT